GGGCTAGTGCAGGTGTGCCGATACAGGGGGCCAAGTTCACGAGGGGCAGAGGAGGCAATCTGGGGGGCCGGGAAGGAAGAGGTGGTATGAGGGGCTCCATTCCTCACTCCACCTCCTGCTGTTTTAGGGGCCTTCATTCTGTCTGTCCCCCTAGGGTGCGCCGTCACAGGGGGGTGCGCCATCACAGGGGGGTGCGCCATCACAGGGGGGCCAAGTTCACGAGGGGCTAGTGCAGGTGTGCCGTCACGGGGGGCCGAGTTCACGAGGGGCTAGTGCAGGTGCGCCGTCACAGGGGGCCAAGTTCATGAGGGGCTAGTGCCGACACAAGGGGAGGTACTCACTATGCTCTTGCTGTCCTCTGCAAAGGTCGCTTTGACAAACATGGGGCCCAGGGCGAAGCCCAAGTTGTTCTCTGTGTCGCTCACGCAGAACTTCCACCGAGGAAGACAGGTCTGGGAACACAAGGGAGAGGGGTTACTGGGCCCTGTCCTTCTTCCCAACCCTTGTCCATCTGGGAGGAAGCAGCCAACAGCTGGGGCCTGTGCTTCCTTCCAGAACCTCAGGGAGACTTTTCTGACGCAGTGGGGGAAGTTATTTTAGGCACTGCACCAAGAGGCCACAGAATATTGCTCATCGCTGCCATCTACTATTTCCTGAATGCCAGGCTCTGTGCGCAGCACGTCATGAATGGTATCTCACCGAGCCATCAAAATGATCCTGGAAGGCAGAGCCGTGGGCCTTGCCAGATGAGGACACAAGACAGACACTCAGCAAGGGGAAGTCACCGGTCCAGGGTCCCCCGGCGAGCAGGGGGTGTGGCAGTGATGGGACTCTGACATGCCTGACCGCACACCCCACACCCCCATCCCTACCCTACCCTACCCCCTGGGGGAGGCGGCAGATCCTGGTGTCAAAGACTTGAGAAGTTACCTTGTCTAACCTCTTGCAACAGGAAACCCATCCCAGAAGGCCAGGACCCAACCCCATTGAAAGCCTCCCAGAGGAAGGGGCTGAGATGTCATGGTCACCCGTGGTCTCACCCACCAGCCTGCTCGACGACGACACCTCTGCGGCGCTGGAAGCGGGCACCCCGCAGGCTGCAGCCTCATGGAGCGCGGCTCCAGGAAGCACACCCACGCGGGTTCCTGCCCCCCCCTGGCTCCCCTGCCCTCCGTGACCACCAGGGGTGGCCCTGCTCCCGGAAATCCCTAAATCCCTCGTGGGGCCTCCTGACCCCCGAAGAACAGGTGGTAAAAACCACCAGGCTCAGGGCAGCCTGCTTCAGAACACTTTTCCAACTGAAAACAACCAAATGCCCACCAACAGGCGGCTGGATAAACAAAATGTGGTATTTTTATACAACAGCACGCTACTTGGCAACAAGAAGGAGTGAATTACTGATACACACAACATGGTTGAATTTCATAGCCATTAGCTGAGAAGCCAGGCGAACAGGAGCACACGACGCATAATCCCGCCCCCGCCCAGCCACACCCACCGGGGGATCTTCTGCTCCTAGGACGCTGGATGAACTCGTCACAGGAGTGTCTCTGTGTGGAGTGGGCTTTCGGTTTTGTGGGTGATCTCCTCTGTCCAGGGGAACACATTTCCTTTGTCCACTGAACTGGGTACTTAGTGTATACTGCACATTTTACAGTATGTAAATTATACCTTAGCTAAAGAAATTTCTTCCATGAAAGAAGGGAAGGAAATAAAGGGCATCTCAGCCTTCCCTAAGTTTAGCGGCCCAATTCTTTTAAGCTCTCCCACCCATGTGTCCGTTTAGACGCCCTCCCCTCCCCACAACCCGCCCACATCTGGCTGAGGCTGCCCACGCAGGAGGTCAGGACCAGGGACCTTGAACTCACGGGCTCCGTGGGGGTCCCAGGCCCTGATGGCTGAGTCAGGAGCTGAGTCTCACTGCCTTCTCAGGAGAGCTTTTGCATAAGCCCACTCACTCACTCATTCATTCATTTGTTCGTTTGTTCGTTCATTCATTCACATGTCCAGTGCCTTCTGGAGAGTCCCTCTGCACCTGGATTATGCTAGGTGTTTGGAACCTAGAGACAAATTGGTCATGGGCCTTGCCCTCGAGGGGCTCAATGGAAACACTCAGAACACCCAGTGGGAGAGACAGACACATAATAACAGCAATGGTAGCAGCGACAGTAGTTCGTGCTTGCTGAGTGTTTACCGGGTGTGGGCCCTAACTCATATAATCCTCCTAATAACCCCATGAAGCAGGTACCCCCTGTGCTCCTGCTTGCAGATAAAGAACATGGCTTGGAGTGCTTTAGCCTTTGGGACAGACTTTTGGGGATCCCTTCGTGTAATCCCAGACAGCCCCGGGTCAGCAGGCTAGGGATTAGTTACTCCTTTTTACACTTGGGAAGACAGCCCTCTGCTCCAATGAAGTGATTTGCCTAAGGTTGTGTGATTAGAAGAACCATTTCAAACACAGATCTTCTGACCCAAAGTTCTGTGCTGTTTCCTTATACCATGCACAGGGCACACAGGGACTCTGGCCCACAGCCCCCCACCTCTAGGGTCTCCCAATTGCCCTTGCTTCTGCCAAGAACTCCCAGCCAACTCCCACTGCCTCCCACTGGTTAAAGCAGCACCCCTGCACTCTGAGCTTGGCCCGGGGAAGCTCGCTTGCTTGCTCGCTTGCCCTATCTATCTATCTAATCATCTATCTATCTATCTATCATAGGAAAATATATGTAAGATTTACCATTCTAACTGTTTGAAATGTACAGGTCAGTGGTGGTAGGCATATTCACACTGCTGTGCAACCAATCTCTAGAACTTTTCATCTTGCAAGTATGAACCTCCATACCTATTAAACAACTCCCCATGCCTGCCTCCCTGCCCCCGCCCCCCACCCCCTGCAACCACCAGGAAGCTCAACGTTAACTTCTCGCTCCTGCAGAGGCTGAGTGGGGTAGGGCTCCCGGGGGGGGGGGGCGGGGCTGTGGAACCAGACGTGCTGGGATTGAAACCACACTCCCCACTTAAGAGCTGTGTGAATTTGAACAAGGCCCTTCCCTTCACAGAGCCTCGGTGTCTTCATCCATAAAACGGGCTGATGATAATAGATCCTAACATAGAGCTGGTATGGAAACTTGGTGACATAATGCCTATAAAAGGGAAACATCTAATAATAATACCTTTTATTATCATCATCATCATTAGTGAGTGGCTGAAAGTGCCGAGTAGTCATGGTCATCCAGAGCTGGGTTTGAATTTGAGCTTGGCTGCCTCCTTGCTAGGTGACCTGGGAAGCCCTTCACTGCCCAGAGCCTGTTTGCCCCTCTGCATCCGGGTGGGTAAGCAACAAGGCAGGTGCACACTCCACACACAGCAGTATCTCTGTAACTACCATCCCGGGTCCTGCTCACTCTTCCTGTACAAAGTCCCCTGGGAGGCCACATGCTCCAGAGGACAGAGTTCGTGCCTTGTCACGTCTGTGACCCAGGGCCTCACCTGGGCCCGGCCCACGGTGTGTGCAGGTGGAGCAGGAAGGCAGGTGGCTCTCGTGGCTGAGGCCCCGTGGTGCCCTCAGAAGCCGCTCTTATTCCCAGCCACACTCTCCCTCAGTCCCCTTCCTGCCACAGGTGGGTGTACGTGGGGATGGGACAGAAAAGGGGAACTCTTCGCAGGATGGACCCCAGGACTGGAGGCAGGAGCCCACGTCCTGTCATTCTCTGCCAGTCCTTATCTGGCTCTGTCCCCGCCACTGGACGCCGGGAAGGGCCACAGGGGCAGGGTCAAGCTAGAGCCAGCTCTGCCTGTCCCCTGGGGTCTGGCTAGCTGCCATCCTGGGTGGGGCAGGGTGCACTGGGTGGGCTTGGCACCCCTGCCTCTACTGCTCTGCAGCTGGGGCACCTCCCTGGGGCCCTGACTTCCTGTGTCCCATCAGCACATATGAGGACCTCTTGCAGGGGATGTGGGCCCTTGGGGCACAGACCCCACCTCACTTGTCTCCGTGTTCCCACATGGGACTCCTGTCCTGTCTGTTGGCTGCACGAATGAGAGGGGGACAGTCACCTCCTTGGAGAAAGAGTGAAGTGGCCAGGGAGCTTCCTATCTGGGGCGGGGTCCCGAGGGAGGGAGTGAGGGTCCTGGAGCCCTGGGACCTCTAGAAGAATGGACTGCCAGGGGTCATGTTGGGGGCATCTGAAGGAGAGTGGAGACCACCTGGTCAGCCTAAGAGGGTAACAGCCAGCAGCACTTGTGCAGTCTTACCACAAACCAGGGGCTACACCAAGGGTTTTGTGTTTATGGGGAAGGAGCAGTATGACTGGGGGTCCCCTGCATAAAACAGGGGTGATGATCACATCCAGCCCACGGGGATATGAAGATCACATAAGTTAGAGGAAAGTGTTTATTATCAACATCACTGAGAAGGGGTTGGAAGAGAGAGAACAGAAGGCACCTTTTGCTGTAAAGAAGCTAAATCTCTAAGATTCCTCTTTTTTTTTTAAATTTAAGTAATCTCTACACCCAACTTGGAATTCAAACTCATGACCCCAAGATGCATGCTCTTCCAACTGAGCCAGCCAGGTGCCCCTCTAAGACTCCTCTTTACCCCCTAAGACCCAGTGTAATCATTTCCTTCTGGAAGCTTCTGTCCACCTCCAACTAGCTTAGATCTAGCCCTTGTGCCCAGGGACATCCGAGTGGACCCCTTCAGAGGCCCTCTCCATTCTCTGCCTACCCTCTACCTCCCTCACAAGTTTCCACGGCTCTGGGGGACACCGAGGTTGCAAGAGCCTCCAACCCAGGGCCTGGCACACAGTAGGTGCTCAGCAGGTGAAAGGGAATGCACTGGAACAGGCTCACCTTCTTGGTCCCATACATGACTTCCATGAACTTCTCGTCGGCATCCTGAAAGCGCTGATCAAGGAAGGAACTTGTCTTCCGTACCAGGTTCCAGATCATGTAGTTGTTCAGCAGGCTGGGGCAAGAGGAGATCAGACAGCTCAGAAGGGCCCAGAGCGGGGAGCATCACAGCACTACCCACACTGACCTTTAGGGGGCGCTCAAACCTGGCCTTTGGATCGCAGGCTCTTCCCTCGCCTCACCTGCCCCAGTTTGACAGGTTACTGCTTACCAAGCACATAGAATGTCAGCTCTTCAAGGCAGAGCCTAGGGTCCTCTCTGAACACCCCTCGGTGCCTAGTGCAGTGACTTGTGTTTGGCACATAGCTGCCTTTTGTTTCTGTCTGGGAGCCGTGAGGCAGCATGGAGACTCCCCCTGGATGGGGTGTGCTACTGGGCTGGTGTCCCAGCCAGAAGGCCAGAGATGGGGGAGGGGGCCTCAGAACAGGAGGGGCAGGAAAGTGAGCTCACTGCCCCCTCCCCTCAGGGCCCAGAGAATCATCCGTGGCTATTGTCACCTTTGCAAGGAAATCACCTTAGACAGTGAACATCTAGGCTCGAACTGGAACCAACCGAAATGTGTGACAGTAGGGATAGGAGTGAGTCAATAATCACAGCTATACTTGACGGAAGGATGCAGAGCCACGCGGAATGAGGTCCAGGGAGTGCGGGATAACATGGGGAAAATGCTTTTGATGAAGGTCAAGGGAAAAGCAGATTACCCATGTGATCACAAGGATGCAGACGAAAACGACCTACGTACTAGAAAACTCACCTCCCTCCCTCCCTCTCTCTCTCACACATACACACTTTCCCTTCTTTACAAACACACACATACACACCCCATAGAATCAACAGTAGTGTCTGGGTAATACTAATTTTTTTCTATTTTGTCTATAGTTTTCAAAAACCTCCACAACAAATCTTTAAAATTATTTAAAAAATCATAAACACTACCCACAAATATCAGCGAACATCGAGGCCCATTCCGTGTCATTCCCTCACTCGGTTCTCACATCCTCACAGGGTAGGTGCTATTTCCATCCCCAGTTTATGATGGGAGCCTGAACCCGAGAAAGGGCGAGAAACTTGCCCAAGGCTACAGAGCTGGTGGGCAGAGAGGCTGGGATCTGAACGGGCTGCCTCTCCCCAGGGCCCACTCTCCGGAGTCAGTCTGTCCCCCACTGCCCCTGCCCGTCTGGCCCCGAGAAGAGCAGGGCGGTGTGGGACCTCAAGGGCTGGCTGTGAGAGGCGGGGTGCCAGGCCGCTGGCCGTCCCTTACCATTTGTCCGTGTTGTTGATGAGGGTGGACACCTGCCCCAGGTACTCCTTGTCGTAGACAACAATGGGCTCGGACTCATTGATCTCCACAGGGTAGAAGATGGTGTTGAGAAAGGGCAGCCAGCTGATGGAGGGCGCCAAGGCCTGGAAAGGAAGAGACAGGGTGACTGCAGCTGAGCTGCCTCCGGGGCGCTCTTCCCTAGAAGGCGCCATCATGCCTCCAAAGAGCTCGGCACCGACAGGGCACCGGGCACTGGGCAGATACCACACTCAGGCTGCCTGGCTTCCGTCAGAGATGCTGGAGACAGAACTCTAAGGAGCCAAACACCAACTTCAACTTGCAATGGAGCTGGGACGGAACACAGCGGACATGGGGACGGCAGCAGTAGCTGCCCGTTCATCAAGCCCTCCTGTGCCAGACGCCATGGCAAAGGACTCCCACGTCTTCTCTCAGTTGGACCTCAGGACAGGCCTAGGTGGTAGGTACCATTATCCCCACTTTAGGGATGAAGAAACTGAGCCCAGACAGGCCTATAATGGAAAACTGTGGAGCATCTGGAGCCACACTGCCTGGGTTCATAATGCGGCTCTCTTACTTACCAGCTGTGCAACCTTGAGTAAGTGGATGAACCTCTCTGTGCCTCGGGGTCTCATCTGAAAAGTGGTTGCCTCATTGTAATAGAACTCACCTCGGAGGCTCGGTGTAAGGATTAAATGGGTTAATGCTGTCTGTTCTACTCAGCATGTGCTTCTGTAATACCAATTAGCTTCTACGTGATTTAGTCTATATGACTGCTAAATTCAAGAATGACAGCAGTATAAAGTGTCAACGCTTTGGTCCACAGGTGATTTTTCTCAGGCATGGGATCTGCAAAAGCAAGCTCAGAAGGACAACCTTCAGCAAGAAAGGAAAAGCCCTCAGCTCAGCTGATGCACAGGAAGCTGGTCAACTCCCATTTTTTAAAATAAGATTTTATTTATTTATTTATGGGGGGAGGGGCAGAGAAAGAGAGAGAGGGAGAGGGAGAATCCTAAGCAGACTAGCACTGAGCGTGAAGCCCGATGCAGGGCTCGATCTCCTGACCCTCAGATCATGACCTGAGCCGAAATCAAGAGTTGGATGCTTAACTGACTGAGCCACCCAGATGTCCCTGGTCAGCTCTATTTTAAGATAATTTAAAATAAGCGCCTACCAACGGAGCTCGCCCCCCCCCCCAAAGAGGCACTGGCGGGCTTGGGGTACCGCACAGCTTGGAACAGCTAGCTTGCTCTTGGCCCACCTAATGGCGGCCCCACTGCCCAGGGCTCATCTGTCTGCAGAGTCTCTGTGTCCGCAGCCAGACTTTCCCCTTCCCACCGGGCAGGCTCCACTCACGCTGAGCTCTCTCTCCAGGTTCCAATTATTGCTTTGATTACAAACTTGCACAACTTTTGGGTTTAATTGTGGTAAGACACACAAACATACAATGTACCCTCTTAACCATTTTTAAGTGCCCAGTCCAGTCCTTAAGTACGTTCACGCTCTTGTGCAACCACCACCACCATCTGTCTCCAGATTTCATCTTGCAAAATGGAAACTTACACCTATTAAACACCTATTAATCCCTCCAGCTCCCTCCCCTGAGCCCCAAGGAAGCATTATTCTCCTTTTAGTCTCTGTGAATTTGACGGCTCTAGCTACCTCATATAAATGGAACCATACAGTGTTTGTCTTTTTGTGAGTGGCTTATTTCACTGAGCATCATGTCCTTAAAGTTGCCCGACTTTTGAATCTAATTGTAAGCGTTTATACAATTAATGCGAGCTTCATAAACTGCAGGCGACCGGAACTCTAAGTCCTGCTTTCCCCATATGTCTTGTTATTTTTAGTAAATTTCTTGTCCTGTGATTCTTCAGAATGCAGTGTTTTCTGAACTACACACACTGTGTGATACAGCAAAAGTGCTTATCTGCATCAGTCACTTAGAATGGTATCTGGTACGTAACAACCACTCAATCCTCAATCAATATTAGCTATTACCATCATTCTCAAGGTCTCCCAACAGTGGGTCTGGGGTGAACAATTCCAAATTCTGTTCTCTGTTCCCTTGAGAAAGGGCAAAACGGAAGACAAAGGCAGTGAGAGACACATTACACACCGCTTTCAGATGGTAAGATCGATCAATAACGTAAAATCAAACCATAACATCAGATGAATCTATAACCTGCTGGTAAATCCCTATGATGTCCTCAGGGAGAGCAGTCATAAAACCCTCCACTTACCAGATACTGATGAGCTAAGGTGACCCTTCCTGAGGTCACATAGTTAACCAGTGACTGGGTGTGTCTAATAGCCAGGCTCACCCATCTCTCTGGTTTCAAAGGGCAGCTCAGCTGCTGGGGAGCAAGGACCTCAGATGACAGAGGAGGGCAGCTCCCACAAGCAGTGACATACTGGCTCTTGGTCGGGCCGGGGGGGAGGTGTTTGTGTTCACACCATGACCCACCGCAAACTACTCACGCGGTTGGGCAGAGCAGAGCCCAGTGGGCTCCAGCACATCCCGGCCTGCCCGGCAGTAAGATGACCCAAGTGAGTCTCGGAGTGAGAAGACTTGGATCAGAGTCCCCACCGTGACCCAGTTCTGGGAGCTCAAGTCATTCTGGAGCCTGTCCCTGAGACGGGGACAATAATTCTCCCACCCCCATCCCCCACGGTCGGCTGCTCTGGACCTCATGGGGATGGCCTGCTCATTCAGCCTGAGCTGCCTCTCTCCCTACCCTAGCCTGTCCATTTGCTCTCTCTTCCTGGCAGGAGCCCCTCAGGCAGGTCAACCTCTGGGGCTTCTCCATTACGTTTCCGGGGCTGCAAAATGGGGGTGGGGGTGTCCAGGTGAGATAGTCAAATGGGGCTCGGCACTGAGAGACACCTGCTTGCATGACCTGCTGGCAAAGGCGCCTGGGAGATTCACTAAGTTTACAGAATGTCATTGTTGATGCATTTAACGAGAGCTTTACAAGCTGCAGGCGACTGGAACACTCTAATCAGGGCACAGCCATCAGGGGGTGATAAATCCCTATGTACTTAACACAGCCTGTTTCTTTAGGGAGAACAGGTGTTCTGTGCAGGTAAACTCCCACAACCCCAGATAAGGTGCGTGTTGAATATCAGAATGTTCACATTTTCAATCTTGCTTTAGTGAACGCCTAACTTAGACATGTGTGCCTCCATCTGTCTCCATGGCGATGGCTGTTTTAACTGACCAGGACGTTCTACTTGTGACTCAGATCCTTTGGGGCACACCAGTCGGCTCTATTTTCCAGCGCTGCAGCCAAAGGGTACTGCTGGTCACCAACCAACCAGCTCAAGTAGGCTTGCAAATAAGAGAAAAGAAAGATGCTATCAGACTTTATCTCAGCTGGAGAATTTAGAGCAGAGAATAGGGCTCATTCCCAAACAACTTCTGATGTGGAAGGTCCTGGAGAGGAACGAGAAGGTCCTCAGGCCCCTCCAGAGAAGCAACAGAAGGATGTTTGATTCAGGGCTCTGAATTCAGACTCTGCTGAGGGCTAGCCTTGAACCACTCTGTATTCTGGTGGGGTTAGCCATACTGTGAAGGCTGGTGCACCTTTCCTAGAGTCACCTGGGGTATAGGAAGAGAACCAAATTTCCAGATACCAGGGAACAGCAAGATAGTCTCTGTCCAAGGTTGGAAGGAATCAAATTGGTTAAGTGCTGGAGACGTGGGCTGGCATCACCACCAACAAAGGAATAATACTAATAATGATTACTATAATACATTTGAAGTGTGCGTGTCAGTTTACAAAATGAAATCCCAGGTAGAGATTCTTTTGGAGGATAGGCTTCAGGGATCCAGGACTTAATCTTTAGATGTTAGACATAATTTTTTTATATCTACATATGCCCAGTTCCTCTGGGAGACACTCCACAGTTTTCAACTTGTTCTCAAAGAACCCTGTGGCCAGAGTAAAGAACCACTGCCCCTTATGGGGACAGGGGCTGCCCCTCATCTGTCCCTGCATTCTGGAACACAGCAGGTATAAAGGAGCGAGCGAAGCCCCATCTTACAGGGAAGGAAGTCGAGGTGCGAAGAGGGGGGGGGTTGTGTGACTTGCCCAGGGTCACACAGCTCATTGTGGGGCTGGGCCAGAGCAGTCTTCTGACCCCAAGCCCAGGGCTCGTCCCTCCGCTAATGTCCTCCCCACCCCGGCAGCTCTGCAGCGGGGAGGGAGGAGGAAAAGAGAAAAGCCATGTGACAGGGTGCCAAGGGGTCGAAGCTGGAAGCCACGCCGGGGCGGGGGTGCTCAGGGCTACCGTGTCTTCTCTGCCACTCTTGGGGTAGTCAACCGGAACCATGGCCGCTGGGCGGTGGGGGGGGGGGGAGGCCTGGGCAGCCACGGGGGCCCTTCCTGGGTTGAGAAGCAGGCAGCTGGAGCAAACCAAACTGCATCACACAAACAGCATCTCCTCCAACCGCTGGGCCTCAGGGCAGAAAAACAGTGCCAGATGGCAGCCAACGGTCTGCTGATCTCCGTAACCACCACACAGCACCGCTCCCCCCGAGGCCAACTTCTCTGGGGACCTCAGGGGCAGCGGACACCCACAAGCGGCCCTCCAGCCCTCAGCCCCAGCTCTGCCTGGGCTGCCGTTCCACCCGGGACAGCCCACCGGCCTGGTGACTGCTCACCCACTCATCAGACTCCCCTTCCTTGGCTCCGTCCCACCCCCCATCCTACGGCCCTCCTTTTCCCAAAGCATTCAGCAGTGAGTCTGGGACTGTCTCCTCGTTGGTGTGCCTCCCTAGCCTGGAAGCACCTCCAGAGCGAGGCCCGAGGGTGTCCCCGTATATACCTGTCAGGGGGAGGGGTGGAGGGAGAAAAAGTGCAGGGACATAGGTGTTCCTCCTGAAAGGGGAAGAAATGAGCCACCTCAAATGGATGGGCAGGACCTGGCCGGTCAAGGAAGAGCAGGAGGGAGGAGACATGTTGGTGGAACCCCAACACAAAGTGGGACACAAGAGGCCTATCATCCTCCCCAGCGGGGAAGCAGGCCTCCCCAGGCATTCCTAGGCAATGGCAGGAAACAGGAAGACTGGCCAAGGCCATTCTGCTGATTCCTCTGTGACCCTGGGGACCTGGGCTAAGACCAGACACCGACACACGGTGAGCTGGAAAGATGGAACTGGCAGGCAATCACCTCAACTCACCACCTGCAAGTCCCGAGGAGCCACCAGGGGGCAGCCTTTGGCTTTGGCAGAGGGGCCGCTGGCTTCACCGCTGGGTTACACCCAGTGACAGGGAGCAACCCCATTATACCTCCAGGAGGTTGCCAGGGGCCATGGTCAAGAACAGAGATCCCATGAGCCATGGCTGAGTCCAATGTCCAGCTCCCCTGATACTCAGGGAGCCTCAGGGCCTTGAACATGTCACTCAACCTCTTGTTTTGGAAAAGGAAGAAGGGACTACAGAACCCACCCCTCACAGCTATTGTTTGCTGTGCACCAGGCTCAATGTGACTGGGGCTGGGGCTTGAGACCAGAAATGCCCAATCAGCGTGAGCGATTATCATCCTGATAGAGCCTCCCCAGGTACATGCTGTTACGGAAAAGCTGTGTGGCCTCTAGCAGGTAACTGAATCTCTCTGAGCCTCAGTTCTCCCATCCGCAAACTGGGCTAACAACCATCCCTGCTTCATAGGGTTGTTCTGAGGATCTGATGAAGTGGGCACAAAAACCCCAGCCCAGTGCCCTATGCCCTGAAGCCCTGGGCCTGTCCCGGGCTCCATGTTACCTGCAGTTCCGCAGCAGTCACTTTGTGGTAGATGAGCTCCTCGTCTCGGCGCTTCTCTTGGGGGATGGTGATATTGGCCAGTGCCGTCTCAAAGTCCAGGATCTGTTGCATCTGGGGCCGGATGGTGTCTTCGTCCCCTCCACCAAGCAGCTTGCCCAGCTGGACCATGTAGTTCAGGTATCCTGTCAGCACCTGGGGGCCCGGCACCCGCTATATGTCAGTGCTGCCACCCACGGCCTACTGGACAAGGCTGGCGGGTGCGGCGGGGCCAGCCCAGCACAGGAAGCCACCGCCAACCCACCGCAGGGATGGTTCTGGCTCTGCACCACCTCACTGGCTGCCCACGGCACTCAGGACAAAGCCCACACGTCCCCAGCAGGTGGGTCCCTGCGGTCCCGGCCCACACCCCCTCTCAGATGCTCGGCCCGTGAAAGTCACCAACAGACCATCTTTCAGTTCTTAGAACACCTTTTTTCTGAGCTGCGCTTCTCTACGGTGTCCCCAGATCTGAATTAGGTTCCCGTGTTCAACTTTCTCCGCTCACCCTTGAGCTATCACAATTTGTCACTATGCCTCTTACTGGGTGGTTAGCTAATTAACGTCCGCCTCCCCTGCTAGTCCCCGTGGGGCGGGGACCGCGCCCGTCTTAGTCACCACTACCCCCCCAGCAGTGGGCAGATGATGCAGGGAGAGACGATGAACCTCAGGAGAGGTTTCCCCGGGACATCGTGAGAGGCATGGGTTTCAGAGTCAGCGGGTCTCAATGAGAACCTCAGCCTCACCACTGTGGGACCTTGAGTGGGTCACTTAGCATCTCTGAGCCTTGCTCTCTCTCTTCTGTAAAAGGCAAGGTAAAAATAACACCCACGTGGCAGATGAGGTGAAAGAGGTTCAGAGATGTTCTGTACCTGAAGGGCTACCAGGAGGGCCAGAGGTGAGTATATAAGCACACCTGGCACCCACAAACGACGGTGGCCATTACTGTTGCCTTGCTCTGACACCTATCCTTGCCTCTTGTGCTCACGACGCCTGAATGTGAAGCAGCCAGCCAGGGGGAGGCTCCCCTCCCCTGCCAGGGACTGCCCAGCACCCACCAGGTAAGTGACACCTCCGTGCAACTCCAGCTTTGAAGACCCACACAGGTGTGGGCACTGAGGGACATCAACAGGGTAGAACGTCGTGGGGTGT